ATACCTTCGTCTGAGGCAGGGTTAGTAGTAAGAGGCTTTCCATCATCTTCGGTGAACATGTCATAAGAATCATCATCACCGTTGCTTGTAGAAGCATATGCATTTGGAGGGCCTATATTTTGACTAGAAACTGATAAAGGTCCGTCTGCTGGAATAAAGTTATCATCAAGAACACCACCAGAAGTGTTATTATTCTTCAACTCATTAGATATACACAGTGTCTTGGCTTGAATTAGCCTCTCATATCCCTCTAGATCAAAACACAAAAGGAAATGGTTAGATCTCTGGGATAAAAAGGACAAAAAGGTTAAATTTCTGGAATAAAAAGGACAAAAAAGGAACCACAATCCACCCCCTCTCAGATACATATACACAAAAACCTTGCATATTGAGAGAAGAAATGAGAAAGAAATAGCCCATGCCCCGAGTTGAGCCAAAAAAAGTAAGGACATGGTGGAAAATAAATGTAAAATGCATATACTATGACGGAGAAAATACCTGCTTCACGCTGAAAGTTTTCTTGTCTTTCATCATAGACATCTGTAGAAAAATACTAACCCTAGTTATAGTCTGTTGATTCATTGCCCCTTGGGATCTGTTTCGATGGAAGGTTTTGAAGGAAAAGACTTTTGAGGGCAATCTATAAATTAAATGTTTAAAAAAAAATTGATCAAAACATCATTGAATCATTGTATAATCGCCAATTATAATACTCCCTCCGTCCCTAAATAAACTTCCTCTTTCGTTTTTTCTTTGTCCCCAAATAAACTTCTCTTTTCCCTTAAAAAACCTCTTTTACCCCTTACTTTTTCATACCCTACCTATCACATCATACCTTTTTATTAATAATCTACATATCACATCTTACTTTTACACATCACATCAAGGGTATTTTTGGAAAGTCAACACAAAAATATCCCTCCCTTAAATCCTCAAAAAGTCAAAAACGGAAGTTTATTTAGGGACGGAGGGAGTATAATTTATCTTCCATTTTTTTAGAATTTCAAATACAAAATTCATATCAAGGTAAACTTATCCCTCCAAAACCATTCCATCCAAGCAGGCCGTTAGAGATGTCTTTGATTGTGTAAAGCAAACTCTTAACTGTAATCGCCATTTTCCATCAGCCTCATGGCATCCTCTGTTAGCTGATCAAATAGTCGTTTCTTCTCTGTTGTCATTTTCTCATTTTTTGAATTGCCTTTCAACCTTCTTAATGCCTGTAAAACCTGACAGAAGAGTTCAAACAAATGTGGTAATCAACAACTAAACCATAAAAAAGTAACAACTTGGTCTAGGTTTAGTCACTTTTAAATTTGTTCATCCAATGTTTAATCAATTTTTTTACTGGATACTTATGTAGGCATGCACATAATTTGTCTAAATATAGTAACAAAAACCTTTTTTATTACCAGAGGTAGTGACACTTATATCACAGGCAAATGAAATGAAAGTGTAAAAAAGATATTACTGTTTCCCCAGGATCAAGAACATCCGCAATTCGTCTCTTCATCTTCCCAAGCTCTTCTGATGTAAGATCATGGGCCTCATCTTCATCGGCTGTAGCATTTCTTTTCCCAACAGCTTTTGGATGAACATCAATGCTATCAAGCCACGCATCCTGCGAATGTTTGGATTTCAGAATGAGTTTCTAATTTTTATTTTTCCTACTCATGGACCCAGGGAAGTAGGGTGATTCAAATAGTGATTATTGGGGAAGGAGTGTTACCTTGACATCACGTTCATAAGCATATTCAACATAATTTCCATTGGCATCAAAATAACCTTCTTCTCTCTCTTTCTCGAGATTGAAAGGTTCAATCTGGATTCCATCGTCAATGAATATTTCATTTTCCTGCCAAGAGTAGCCCCAATCTCTTTATGCATGGTCATAAAAAGATGAGTAAAGTGGATAATGAATCCCAATTCCCACACAATGCAGAATAACAATTGTAGCAACCTAATTAATGCAGAGTAAATAATAAGATCAGAACTTTTAAGATAACCGGTAATGTGAAATTGTGAATGCTGGCAAAATGGCCAACACTTAGGGTATGTTTGGACCATTGCTAGAGAAAGGCATAAAAATGCTGAGAAATAGTATTTCCTTGTGTTTGCCTTTACCATGGAAAATGCAACGGCATACCCAATAAAGTTCTACAAAAGTGGGTTAGGGAATGGTGTGTAGGCAGAACATAGCCCTACCACAATAGTAGATTTTCCGTGGAAAATGCAAATGAAAATAAAATGGTATTAATATAAATTAAATAAATCACATTTTGAGATTTCTTAGTTTTACATAATAGAAACACATAAATTAATTAATTCTGTATTTTTGCCAGATAGCAAAATAAGTTTAACGAGTTTGAGCTTATCTTTAATTTTCACTCAAATTTGCTTCCACATGCCTAATGACAAGCAAGAAAACTTGTTTTGAACAAAAGAAGTAGAGGAAGACATACCTCATAAGTCTCCTCAGCCAGAGCAATATCGGGAGCCATTCCTCTATTTTCTTCCTCAAGGAGTTCATTTGTGACTTTGTTCCTATGCATTGCACGCACTGTTGCTGCATCACAGGCATTCTTCCATCCGCTTAGAGATTTTTCACACCCATTGTCTACGTTATCCCCATGCTTCAACTTCTTTCCTTTCGGGAACCTTATTCTCTTTTCCCTAAGGCATTCATGACGAAACCACATTATATAAGTATATAACAATTAGAAAAAGAAGAAGAAAAACCCACTACTGCTATAAATGTGTATCAACCCTAATTCCAGCAGTGATTAGCCCTATTCAAACGATTCTCTCCAAAAACGACATACATAGTTAGAAAATTTTCACTCCTCCATCCTTCCATCTTATCGCCATGCTTCTTCATTTTCTTTTGGGAACCTTATTCTTATTTCCATAAGGCATTCATGATGAAACCACACCAGATAACTAACAGGAAAAGGAAAAACCCTACTACTTGTATAAACACATAGAAACCCTAATTCCAGCAATGAATAGCACCAATCAGCTGATTCTCGCTCAAAATAGCAGATATAGTTCGCATGTAACTACAGTGGGGCTATGAATTCAATCATTGAGCTAACAGAAACTCGAAAAAATCAAAAGCGAGTATAGCAAATTCATGCACTATCCTATCCGAATTAGGGTTCGATCTAGTAATACTTCAAAGAAACAAATTGAGACAGTATAGTAATAGCATTTACTGCGGTATAGAAGTGGACGTGTTCGTGTGCAAGCTAGAGAATTGAATCGATGGTTACCCGGATGCTTTCTCGGAGCCGTCGTCGACGGCGTCCATGAAAGAGCGCTTCCGTGATCGCGAAGGACCGCCTTCTTCCATTAGAATGTTACCGAAACAAACACTGCTTGTTTGGGGCCTTGTTATTCTCCAGGTGAATGACAGAGAGTTCCGGCGTTAGGGCATTGCTGAAAAAATTAGCTAAAGATAACGGACCGAAATAATGGCCCCCATAGATTAGCCTTAGCTTTTTCAAAAAGTTATCCGACGGTAGCCTTTAGCGTTAGCGTTTTTAGATTTAATCTACACCATTAAAATTTTATCCAAAACGCTAACGCTAATCGAAAACGCTGTTACCAAACGAAGCCAATGTCACCCTCCCATTTTAAATTGCATATTACTTTTATGATATTTAACTAGAATTATCTTTAAATTGATTTACATAAAATTTTTTGAGTCTATCATTTAAGACAATAGAAAAATAGAGAATGATGTTAACCACAGAATTCAAGCCGGTTGGTCAAAATAACAAAGAGCTTCGAGCTTTAAATGTGAATAAACTCACTTTGTTTCGACGTCTTTTGAAAATAATTTAACTTTTCAATGTTATCTAAATACTCTCAATTTTCAAGCTATTACACGTTTTGGATTACTGTTACCCGTCTAACATAAAAATTAATGGAATGATGAGTTGAAAATTTGTGTTTGGTCTTTCACATGTTTTTTTTGTTTTATAGTTGGTTTATAATTATCAGATTGTCGATTCAGTCTTTATTGCTTAAGAGCATCGTTAGTGGTAGATTTTTCTTACAGGAAGTTCATCGCTAAGATACGGTTGCTTTACTAAGCAATCCATTTGAAAAATGAAGCAACTGATGCTCCACATATGTTCCAAATAAGCTCTACATCTCCTTTCTAGGTGAGATAACTTCATAGGAACCTGTCACTAAAGATGTTTTAATTGAAACCAACCATTGCCGATCCTTGTAGAATATGGAGTATAAGTGTATGACACATCCCTTTCCCAAATAATAAAATACTTCGTAATAAATACAGAACTAGTACTTAAACATGTATTAAATGCTCTGTACTAAAATAAGATATTCATATTTTTATACCAAAATGTCGGTACATAATATCAAATTGTCAATATTTCGTGGTAACTTATAGATAAAAGATCTATTTTTGTATAGGTTACATATTTTAATCATATTGTGTATTTAGGTAAATTTCTAAACAATAAATATATTTGCACACCAAGTTGGTGGTTGTACCAAGTGAACAACCAAAATTTTCATATTTAGTCTTCAATTCTTGAAATTCTATAAATGGTTCTCAGTTTTAGAAAATTAGTTCATAATTAGTCATTTCGGCAAAATATGAGAGAATATTTTTTCTAAAAATAGTCCCTGAAAGACCAACCATGGAATAGTTCAGAAATTGAGGACCATTTATGAACTATCTAAGATTTAGATACAAAAATGAAAAATCATCTGTAATTAAGAATCATTTATGAAATTTACTCAAATTTTTAACTATTCAAACATGATTCACTAATTTCACTTGTCATAGATAACTCATCCAGATTTGAAATTGTATCATTCAAAATTTGGGGGGAAAAAAAGAAAAAAAAAGAACCACATGAAGTAAGTTCTTACCCATAGATCATCTATGTTGGAAGGCATCTTTTTGTGAGGGATGGGGAAATGTTTGAAAAACCTTTGTGGGTCAAAAGGGAGTATCAATAATCAATAATAGAAATAGTTTATCAGTTGGTTACAAGTTACAAACAATTCTATGCCTTCAATGTAAGAAAATAATCCTCATTGCAAACATCATAAAAACTACCCAAGTGAAGGAACATAGAATGCTGTGACAGTTCACAAACATGATTCTGTACAATGTAGTAAATCTCCCATCTTCTCGCTTCAGGCTGAATTATGCTTGGGCAAGAAACCTATGTTGCCCGCCAGCTTTTCCGAACTTAACAAAGGATTTGGGTGTCGGACGACCCAAAGTATCCAAATGGGAACGGAAAGCGGTACTTATTAGAAGAACCGGTGCAACACAGAAAGAAACTAACATAAAGCTGCAACACCTAATCGAAATGCTGGCGCAAGATCATCTCCGTCTCGCTCTTCCACGAAGCATGGGAGGATTGACCCCTCATCCTCTTCACCTTCTCCTTGTCTTTGATGGTTGATCCTTTTTTCTTATCTGCCTCAGTATTTGTGTCCCTATAAAAGAAAGAAAATCAAGAGCTTTAGATAATGTTTGGTTTGATGGGGGAGATGGGGGGATGGAAGGGAAGGACAAGGGATACAAGGGGAATGAAAGGAATGATACTGTGTTTTGTTCAAAAGAGTAAGGGTGGGGAGGTAATGACTAATTTACAATTATACCCTTACATATCAGTCTATTTATAAATATTACGGGGTATACCATACAAGGAGCATGAATGGAATATAAATTGGTAAATATATTTAGGCACTGAAATAGAAAATATACAATCGTTTAACACCAACTTTGTAAATTGGTCAAGAACTCAAAAATGAGAGAATTGAGTAAAACAATACTGATCTGTTATAACTTATAACCATTAACCTAATTTTGAAAGAGAATGTTCCGAGGAACTTTTACACACTATCGGATAAAGGTCTGCCAGGTCAAGCTATATGCACAGTTATCTTTCCAACGGAAAGTATGTTCTGAGAATTTCTGTTTCCCATTATGTGCCATTTGAAAGTTGAAACAAAGCACGGAGTAGAAAATATGGAGGAAAATAGAGGGGACATTTAGATGAAAAGATAAAATGGGGGAAAATAAAAAATGGTTTAAAACTAATGTTAGATACACATAAAAAATCATTTTATTTATATATTTCAATTGTACTCGGCATAAAGGCCATGAAATCTATATATGTGTATAATTTAAAAAACTTATGATGGAATTTGAACGTTATTTTTATTTTTCAAGGTAAAATGAATTTCCATGTTACAAACATAGCCTAGAGCTTAGGAAGACACAATTTAATGGAAGATGAAGTACCTCAGAAGTGCTGATGCAAGTTCTGCATTTGGGTTTCTCACAGAAGAATTGCCTCCTTGTGCAGAAGCTGAAGAAAGATTCCTTTGCCCATTGGGCTTCTTGGGTATGATACCCTCTACATCACTTCTGACTCTCTCATGGATCCCAACCAAATGAGCTTTAGCCTCAACAACAACACCTTCAGAAATGATAAACTAAAATGTAAATGTGTTCTCTGAAAACAAGAGATAAATTGATAATGCAAAAAATAATTGCAACATCTATGAAGCATTTTTTGTCAATCATAACTGCAGATAAAGTGAAAAAGCATTCTTCAAAAGTATGTCAGCTTCATAACATGGCAACTTGCCAACTTCAATCATTTAATCCTTATTTGGTACAAATGAGGGAAAGGAAAACAGAAGAGCTAAGAAAGAACAAAATATTTGTTCAGCATATGGGTGAGGAGAAATGATAACCCATTAACCCCTAACTACACCAACCAAGCAGGCATAATTGCATAAATGATAACAGCATTTTTGCATTGCATTATATGGATCAGACAAATGAAAGAAAGTGTAAACGAAAGATAATCAAGTTATTGGATGACAAAAATTGAAGAGATATTAACAGCAATTCTAAGGTAGACAATTCGATTGTGTCAGTCAGTACAGAATCTTGTCAGGATATTTAAATTCTATTTGGATATTCTGCAACCATAAACAAGCTACATCAGTCCCGTAGTGTGAACTCCTTTCCTGATCCAGACACAAAATTCAGGAGCTGCTTTCAAGTTACAAAACATCGGCTCTAAAGTACTGCTAAAACGATGGAGCTCAGCATGTTTCATAGATTTAGTCTCATATAGATGACAATAGACAAAGGCCACAGCTTTTCAAATACTCCTTATGAAATTACAGCTAAATAAAAAATTTACTGATCTAAGTTCATATCAAAGAAACTTATGTACTAGAGAAGCAATTACCAGAAGGTAAATCTTTCTTATCTCTGGAGTTCTTACGGCGACCATGCCGCCACCGCTGGTTTCCAGCTTCATTGGCAGCTGTTTCATCCACACTGTTGTTTAAAAACTCCGGAGGTCCAGAAACCTGCAGCAATTCCATGAAAATCAATAGCAGCCAAAGACATACGATTGGCCACAACAACCAATTTCAGCTTGGACATAATTAACGAAAAAGGTCACCTCGGAGAATGCGGCGAGAGCAGAGGGGAGGGAGGAAGACGGCGTAGGGTTAGGGTCGACGAGAGGCTTGTAACGGTTCAGCGAAACAGCGTCGTCCACACCGCCGTCTTCTTCTTCGGATCTGTCGTAGTCCGGTGACTTCTCATCTACTTCACCGTCGTCTTCCTCGGCGGAGGAGTAGCTCTGCAAGAGAGTCAAGCTCATTCCGACGCAATGCACGGAGATCCGGTACCAGCTGTTGCTCCAATTTTTGACCCGGAAACTTTTGAGGATCGGCTATTTCACGGTCCGGTTTGAATGGACCCAATGTGGATTTGGACCAAACCAGCAGGACTATACGAGTGTTTTTTTAGAGTGTTTGAAAAAATGACTTTTTGACTGATTTTTAAATTTTTGGACTTATTTTGATTGTTTTACTTTTGAATATTTAAAAAGTTAAAATCAATCTTTGGCAAAAAAAATCAAATTTTATGTTGGATTCCCCCCCCCCCACCAAATTGATGTATGGCCAAAATGCCAAAATTTTACTCCCTCCGTCCCGTTTTAAATCACCTGTTTTAACTTTTAGGCATATTTAAGGAAAAGAAAAAATATAGTTGATTTTTCGAAATTGTCATTACTTTTTAGGATGGGTGACGATGGGTGACGAAGAATGAGAAGATAAGGCTGAGAAGAGTGACTTATTTTAGGGGTAGTCGGGTAGTTTATGTATTTTACTCTTAAAAGTTTACGATAACAAGTACTGTAGACAACTTATCTTGGGACGGAGAAAAAAAAAGCAAACATGCAATTTAAAATGGGACAGAAAGAGTAAAAAAACTAAGAAATGTTACTTTTTGACTTGACATTTAGATAAAATTAACTTCTCCACTCCGTATTTTTTACATTGTTCCTTAAATACTGAGTAATAAACAAAAAATATACTCCGTACAAATTTATTTATCGTGTATGCATTACTTTTATTTATTTATTTATTTATTTATTTATTTATTTATTTATTTATAGGTAATACGGAGTATTTCTTACTTCAAAAAATATCTTAATAATCATAGACAGACACTATACACCCCTATCTTATTTCGCCATCTTATTCGATTAGTCTCATTAAAAATTTTCATATTAATAATTTCTACGAATTTGTTATAAAAAAATTTAATTTGTACATTGACAAAAATGAAAAATGAGTGTTACCTTTATTTTGTTACATATGAAGGGTGTTGTAAATACTTCCAATAAATATTACTCCATATTTGTTACAAATGATATATATAATCGATTAAATCTATTGTCAACTATAACACCATTAATATTAGAATGAATGTTTTGAAGAAAAAAATATCTAACAATAGTATTTAATATTAGTATTTTCAAAGTTAATAACCATGATTAAAATTGTATAAAAAATGCTAACCCTAATCTAAATATTGTTCCTAAACGAGGCCCAAATCAAATGAGACAGGAAGTAGTAACAAATTTTATGCAATAATAATTTTTCACTTTACAAACTTTTCCCTTGATTCGAGTGGTGATAGGACCGCCTAGAAAAGATTTTAGATGTAAAATTTATCCAAGTCTAAACTCTGTCGAGAACAACGAAAACACTAACATTTCGTATTTCAATAGGTTGAAAATATATGTATGGACATATGTGGTAAGAGAGTCAATAATTAGGGCAAGGTTCCCATGACAAAAGATTGCACTCTACCATGGAAAAAAGATGAACTCATCCTAGGTCTCTCTCCCTGGCAAACCCGAATAGCTTGGAACTAAGTAAGTTAAACTTTAATCATAAATAGGGAATGAGATCTGTCTCACATTATGCAGGATTGTTCATTGTCGTCAATGCACGCCCTTTGACCATTACGCTCCAAGCTAAGAGAAACATGTTTCAGGAATGTGCTCTTGGAATCTGCATGTTCCAGTGCCAAAGAATAACTCAAGAACTAAAGAGAATAATCCGAGAAGTAAAAGCTAGCTAGAGAAAGTATAATGATGATGCATAAAACCAAATATTTTCATTACCAATATAGTAAAAAATCACCTAGGTGCCATGCCATACTAGGGACTAGTTCTGAGTTGGGGCAAAGGGCAAGGGTCCCAAAATTTTTTAAAACATGCATCAAGCATATATATATATATATATATATATATATATATATATATATATATATATATATATATATATATATAAATAGTACGTAGTAGTAAATAACATAATGTCAAAGGTCCAAGCAGAGCCGAGCTCACAGGTCACAAGTTTTTGTGGTATTCAAGCTTAAACAGATATATCAAGTTTTTGAGCTGAGCCCGAGGACCACATATTCAAGCTTAAACAGATATATCAAGCCGAGCCGAGCTCACAGGTCACAAGTTTTTGTGGTATTCATGGGAGTGAAGCGACTATTCTGCCCCCCAATTATACCCTCGCCAAAACATGAGGAATTACCTTACCTTTTTACGTGTCAATAGACATGCCAGAAACCTTTAGCTTGATGGCCTCAAACTCTGCATTCTGTCTTTCCTCAATTGTTAGCCAGGAAGACAAGCATTGGGTGATAAACTCATTGGCAGAACCACTCCTCTTGGGCCTTCCACAATATTTCTTTATGAGCTGAAAATTTGACTCGGTAGGATGGTCAACATAATTCTCCAAGATATCTGCAATGGAACGTCGCCAGATTGGGCGGGCCCGCTTCAGGAACTCGTGCACAGCCAAAACCGGGAGGCTCACACTTCCTAACTCAGACTCGTGCTCGCCAACTTTTCCATGGAAATCGGACCCACCGAGCTTCACTAGATCGTAGGTGTCACCCAAGTTAATGTATGCTGTTTGTTTATTTAAAAACAAAAAATTTAATAATCAATATGTACATGAAACAAACAACGAATTGAACATAATATGAAGTCATATTCTAAACCACAAGTATCCACAAATGCTTTTTTGCACCGGCGTGGAGGGTGCTAGAAAAAGATATTGCTATGAGTCATCTACTTTGTATTTAGTAAAAAGGCGTGAAATACTCTAAAGGGAAAATGACAATTAATCCCCCCGTCATAAAAAAAGAGTTGTGTTAGTAATACTTTTTTTAGTATTGGAAACAAAACTCTTTGTTTGGAAGGAGGTAATACAGAAATAGTATACTACTACGTATTAGTCATCAAAATTCAACTTCATCGGCATCTAGTGGACTCGTGGTTATTCTCGCCCCTCAAAAAACCTGCTCTTGAGTGGGATGTACTGGTTTTGTTTGGTTTCATTTAAAAAAAATGAAATATATATAGCTCAAGCTTTAATATCTCCTCCTAGAAGTAGCCAATGATTGAATCTCTACTATTAAAAGGAATTAGAAAAATACTTGAAATCATAAAATCAATATCTACAACTTTAATTCTCAAAGGAGGAGAAAGACCATTACTCCAAACCAAATCAAACAGAGCCAGGATATCCCACTCAAAAGGATCATTACTCCCTTCATCACATAAAAAATGTCATATTTATGCTGCTGTTTTTAGCAGAAATGCATTAGAATTTAGAAACAAGACTAAGATGACTAATTAAGCAAAAATATCAAATGTGTAAGCCTGTAAGGATGAGATAGCAAGGTCACAAGGCCTTACGTTCCACTTTTCCATCACTTCTGTAAGCCTCTATCCCTTGAAGGCCAGCTTCTTTCAATCTTCTTACGATAGCCACTGGATTCTTTAAAGTCCATGGATGTGCCAATACCGCAATGCCTCCTGTTTCACATATTATTTTCACAGCTTCCTCTGCAACCGGCTCACTTCCCCTGAAAAACATAACCACCAAACCACTTGGTTAATTTTTGGATCATTGGGGGTGTGTTTGGTTCAAGGGGACGGGAAGGTTTTGATGTTACCATGATTGATTTTTTGGAAGGGAGGGAAGCAAATGCTGGAGAAATTTCTGGCTTGAGGTGTTTTTGGTTGGAGGGGAGAGAAAATTAAGGTTCTCCTACCCTACAAATGTCTTGAACCAAATGAAGGGAGGGGAGCATTTCCCATCCCCTCCAACCAAATACACCCTAAGAAAGTAAGAGGTGTTAGATAGGCTCCATTTTGGCATGTTTATTGACCAAAAAAGTTTAAAAATAGTGACTAGTTTTCACCAAACACTAATGAAACGAAAGTGGTGCAGTAGTTACTTTTGTGACGGAAATGGATGAATGTGATGTTTCTACATTTATTTTTGGAAATTCTTTTCTTGGATTTATTATATTATATTTTAAGATATTTTTTTGGCTGATTCAGCATATTCAGCCATCCCAGCCACAACTCCAACATAACAGCAATCATAGTGGTTTTAAACTAAACCAAACAGGCACTTAAAATGGTCTTAATCGTGCAACATTGATGAAATTATACAAGAACAAGGCTCGAGAAAAGGACTAAGTGAGTTGCAAACATTACGTAGCATATGCGGGCCCTCCATCATAAAGGTACCAAGCAAAAGCCTGTTTTAAATTCTCGACATATCCAGCTTCAACCATGGCACGGGCAACATGCACCCTCCCAGGAGCTGCATCTTTGCCTGCAATTCTCAATACTGCTTCCCATTTAAGTGGAAATTTAAGTTGATTGAGTTTCGAAACCATGCTTTTTGCACGTACAAAGCGGCCTTCCTTTATATCACGCAACATCTTTTCCACTTTGTCAGCCTTTGTTGGCCCACAACTGCTGTAATATGCAAGGATGTGAACCAGTTCTTCTGATCCAGGCTCCCCTCTGTAATTATCAAAAACGTAAACCAAAAATATACTGAACTCTCAACACAGCATATGTTCCGTTCTCAAAAGACATCCACATTAAAACCATGTAGAAAAAAAAATTAAAGAAATAGAAACAAGAAAAGTAAATCATACAAAACCTGATTCATCCAGAGAGACCCATCTAAGCCCCTTTTAATTCATGCCTAATTCAACATAGACCCCATTAACTGGCCTAATTCATCTTTTCTTAGACAAGTAGGCTTCTTTCCTGCCTAAATCCTGCATAATCCCACTTACATCCCGTTTAACTATGTACCCAGAGTTATGTGTGTGCTTTGAGTTTCAGCAATCTAATAATGGATTACTCACTGGGAACTTTTTCAGATATGACACGGCCCACACCCCCTATGTTGCCAAGTATTTTTTACAACATTTTAGAGGACAGCACGGGGACAATGCCTGCATAGTTAGGATTATGGGTGTCACTAAGCCCATTTAAGCTGAAATCACAGGAGAAAAGCATTTGCTGCAATCTTCAGTATGAAATATTAGTGCTGGGATTTAATACTTGATTTAGGCCATGTTCTCTTCACCTGATCTAAATGATTCTAATCTGATTGGAATAAGTTATGATCTGATCTTGTCTGATCTAATTTGGATGTAGTTATATTTAAAGTTGTTTTTGATCTAATCTGATCTATGATCCCAATAAGAATAAGTAGTAAGTAAAAAAATTAAGTTGAGGAGAACATGGCCTCCCTCGACTATATACTATGAGGTACTACTCCGTTAATTCATTTACTTTCTAGTGGACTCAGATTTGGTCTCCTACTAAGACGTTAGACTCAATTTAGTTCTTAAACTTATATTTTACTTATAATAATGGAGGGGTATATTCATCCACCAAGGGCTAAAATGGGTTCAGCTTGCATAAAGAATGATCAGATTGAGTATTAAATTGGGTCTAAAATTCGTGACTCCGAAAAAATACCTTTTTGTTTATAACCAAATACGTGAGAAAATTAAATCAAGTCCAAATTGCATGGTAGATGATCAAGTTGAATCCATAACAAAATCGCGAACCAAATTGAGTAGTAATGCAAAGTCAAGGAACTAAACCAGACATCCAATACTAACTCTAGGAGAGAATAATACAAGAAACACGTAATCACTCCTGCAGTTAGCTAACCTTGGGAAGAAAATTGCACTGACTTCAACGCCTGGAATGATTTTAATGCCGAATCTGCTGGCAGCTTCCAGGGCTTCAGGTATTCCAGATAACGTATCATGATCGGTCAAAGCTAGAACTTTGACCTGTTCTGAACATATTAGAACTAATTAACTGCAGACTATATAATAAAAATATTGCAAGATGGGCCAATGTAGATATCACACAAATTCAGAGATATTAACCTGCCAACAACAACAGCGACAACATAAAACCCAGTATGATCCCAAGTTCATTAGCCTCTGGATGGTTTCAGTAAAGCCCTTGATGCATTGCAGCATTTACTACCAGAATTTCATAGATAGTAAAAAAAATTGAAAGTTTAATGTGCCATTTTGATTTAGTCCATTGTTTACTCGAAGCTAATACATTGCAAAGTCAGTGATGTTTCATGCATGAAAAACTGGTTGTGCTTCAATTGGTGAAACTTGATTCTTTCTTCTTTGGGTAAAATGATCAAACACATAGCGGGCATAAACCCACTGCAAACTAAAACCTCCCATACTAGAACTGATTGACAAGCTTAATAACTAAGAAACTGACCCCATTCTGATGTGCTCTTTCGACAACCTTGGAAGGGGGCAAGAACCCATCACTGTGATTAGAATGGCAGTGCATTTCAAACACCAGATTCTCTCTGCGCTGATTGCTGTGCACCAGAAAATCGCCATCGAGATTCTTACCGGAGCTCTTCTGGTCCAGGAAAACCCATTCGCAGACAGAAGTGTGAGCGGAGGACTGATCCGGGGCCGCCTTCCTCTTATTGCCCCCTCTCTTGTTCTTCGTCTTGTTCTTCTTATTCTTGCCCTTCCCGGATCCGTTTCCAATTGATGCTTTCTTCTGAATTTCTTTACCACCCGTCATGGATTCATGGGAGAAATTTAAAAAATAAAAAAAAGGGGGGGATAGATTCGTGCTGCGCGATCTTCTTCTACTCGAGTTCTATACGGCGGGTAGCCCGACCGCGTAGGTGATAATGTGATATAGGGAAGGCCGTTATTCCTCTTTAGGGAAAATTTATTAAGATTGAGTTTGGTTTGGGATAAAAAAAATTGAATAATATTTTCTAAAGAAAAATTATTCTAAAAAAATTATTTTTCAATCATATAGCTCATTGTTTGGTAAAAAAATATTTTCATTCTACTAATATCACCAAACACATGAAAATGGAATAAAAAATTTCTCGAAAAATATTTTACGCCTAACCAAACACAACCTGAGTTCTTATCCAATTTCATGTGATTTGTTAACTAATATCTTTTGTTAATGTTTGTATATGTTCTTATTGCATTTCTTATTTAAAATTTTATTAAAAATGACTGTGTAAAAGTTCAAATTAGCTATGAGTGTTAACATTTTATGGAGTATAGATTTTTGTATTCTTATTTTGTAAAGAGTTTGAATTAGAATGTTCTGAATCATTTCAAATCGACGTGTCGTAAAACAAAAGGAACAAAGTAAGACAATGTCGTATCCCGACTCGTTCCAACCTGTTTCTGTAAAACGAGATTGAGATCAAAACGATTACAAACCCGAACCATTCCGACCCTTGTTCACCCTTACTAAGATTGTTATTTTCCGTTAGTATTTTAATTTTAGACATTGAAAGAAATTATAAGAAGTTGAATAAACTGAACAAAGTTAAAAGGAACTTAAAAGAGTTGAAAAAATTTAGAAATAGTTAGAAAATATTGAGAAAAAATAATGTTTAAAAAATCACTTAATTAATGATCACCAAAATAAATATGCAAGAAAACTAATTTTAGATATAAAAAAATCATCCTTGTCCATACTCGAGGTATTATGTTATAAATTTAGATATATATAATTATTCTATAGTCATCATTTGTAAATATATTTTCAAATCGTTGTTGAAAGAAACTATAATCAATTGAAAAAATATAGAGAGTTGAAAGAAATAGAAAGAATTTGGAAAAATTAAAAATTTATATTTTCAACCGAAAAAATATAGCCTAAAAAAGATTAACCACATCTAGAATCATCCTAAAAGCTCAAAGTGAAGCAGAAGTTCGAATACCATTAGGGTCCGTTTGGTAAACAGAATTGATGGAATTGGAATTGAATTGGAATTAAAATTCCATGGAATTCAATTCCACAGAATCGAATCCACCAATTTCAATTCATTTTTTTGCACTACCAATTCCAAATCCACATAATATTTGGGTTATCAAACACCAAAATTGAAATTGAAGTCTTCAATTCCAATTCCATAATATTAATTCCGTGTACCAAACGGGGCCTTACTCATCTCCTCATATTTCCATCCACATCATCATTCTCTCCTTTTATTTTTTTAACGCACTCAAATTATTTTTTACTTTTTTAACTTTACTCCAAAATATTTGCTTCCTTCGTCTCAAAATGTTTGTCGCATTTGCTTTTTCAACCGTCAGGAGAACGTTTATTTATTTGCATGTTTTCATTAATTATTTAATAAAATAAAACATTCTCGACACCTCTTATTTCTAAGAACTTTTCATGTAGTTTTCAAATACGGAGTATGTAAATTTTATTTTTTTTATTTCTATGCCGATATCCTAGTCCCTACTGTTGTGGGATTCACCTGAGTTGTTGTTGTATTTCTATACCGATATGTAAATAAAATGAATTAAAAAAATTTAATATTTGCCTCATTTTAGAGATGTGTTAGGCATTTAAGGACGGAGAGAAAATTTTATTTTCAATCAATTAAACTCTAATGTAATCAGAACTTTTTTCACCATAGAGCATTTTATAGTACACCTGGCATTCCTGGTATGGTATCCTTGCCCAAAAAAAAAATCGGAGCCCAGATAAGCACGCCGTGGCCGCCGTCGGGTATAGTTCCCTCTCGATGAATGCGATGGCCGCTCTTGCAGACTTGCCGTTGTTTCTCCGGCCAAAACTCTCACTCGTCCCTTCCAGTCCCAAAACCACGCCTAACAAACCGTCGACAGTTCGGCTCCGGTGCTCAATCACGGTGCAATCGACAGCCACTATTTCCCCCGCCGGAGACTCACAACCGCCAGCCGATTGCGTGATCGTGGGCGGCGGAATTAGCGGCCTATGCATCGCTCAAGCTCTGGCTACCAAGCATCGCGATGTAGCCCCAAATGTGATAGTCACCGAGGCCAAAGATCGCGTCGGCGGGAACATCACAACCGTGGAAAAAGACGGGTATCTTTGGGAAGAGGGTCCCAATAGCTTCCAGCCATCCGATCCTATGTTGTCCATGGTGGTACGTGATCATAGTCTTTGTATTCATAGATTCAAACAATTGAATTGAATTTGATTTTCTATAATTGCTGTGTTAGGTGGATAGTGGGTTAAAGGAAGATTTAGTATTTGGGGACCCTAATTCGCCGCGCTTTGTGCTTTGGGATGGGAAATTGAGGCCAGTTCCATCAAAGCTCACTGACTTGCCATTTTTTGATCTGATGAGCTTTGGTGGGAAACTTAGAGCTGGATTTGGTGCTCTTGGTTTTAGACCTCCATCACCAGTGAGTTCTCTTTTACTTCCTCTTTCTATTAAGACATTTATTTGCACATTTCTTTTGATTCTCTTTAGAAACTGTATCTTTCTCACTACCATAACATTTTGATTAAGGTGACAGGGACATGAGGAGTCAGTTGAAGAATTTGTCCGCCGCAACCTCGGTGACGAAGTTTTTGAGCGTCTGATCGAGCCTTTTTGTTCAGGTATGCTATTATAGTATCATTTCAAAACTGCTATCCATGATGTTGGGGAGGAATTGATATAAATATTTTGAAGTTAGACTTGGGTGCTTGCACTAATTTTTTGGTTCTTGAGTTGGCTTTATTTCCAGGATATGTATTGTTCCTTCCTGATTACTCCGTATAATTTTATTTCATTGCCAATTAATGAAAGGCTCCTTGCCACAATGGTTGAGATGTTGTGTGTAACTATTTGGTCACAGGTCTGAGACCTTACGCAGTCTCTTACAAAATCGGAGCATAAGATTTGACTATATTATACCCTTTTGTCGTGGGGACATTTTAGGCACCGGGCTGCCCATTCATGACTCCTGCTCCCTTCTTTCCTATTCATTTGTCTCTATTGACCAAATTTCCACATTCCTTTTAATCTGTACTTTTTATGAATTCTATGCATATTTTTTTTTCTTCTTCAAATTTTACCCTTGTGGTATTTTATTGGGTAGGTTATTGTTGTTTGTCTTATCCTTATATGTAAGAGGGTGCTTAAAATAATTGCAAGTAATTACTCCGCAAATAAAGGCATTTATGAAAAAATATAAGTTTTGATCAATTTATTCATGTGTTACTCCAATGCATTTTTATTGACTGTGTGACTAGGTCAATGTAGGTAGATAAAGAGGAACTAACGGAGGATAAAATAAGAAATATGTTCCTTAAAGTTCTTAAACATCAAAGCTGAGTGAAATTCCATGGCACCATGCAAATTAAACAAACTAGGTTTGACCCAATTAGTCCATTCCTTTTGATGAGCTAGCATTTATACATATGTCTTTGCAACCAAAGTGCTTTCAACGGTCTAAACTCAGAAGATGATTGCAGTCCAACATGATACATTATTGAATGCTCAAGGCTACTGTTGTTATGTCCAGGTGTTTATGCAGGTGACCCTTCAAAATTAGGCATGAAAGCAGCGTTTGGAAAAGTATGGAACCTAGAGCAAATTGGTGGCAGCATCATTGGTGGTACCTTAAAAACAATCCAAGAAAAGAAGAAAAGTCCAAAACCTTCACGGGACCCGTAAATATATAGTCTACACGCATTGAGACCTTTCGTTGCTGTTCTTTTTAATCATGTTTACAAATTCTTAACTTAGTATCTTTCAGGCGTTTACCAACACCAAAGGGCCAAACAGTCGGGTCCTTTCGTAAAGGACTTACTATGTTGCCTGTTGCGATTGCCCAAAGGTAATGTGTCTCCTAGCAATGCCATTTCACAAGAAGTTTTGATCCTGTTTGTTAAAAGCCGTCTTTTGCTGTGACAGAAATCTGTCCACAGCCCTTCTGTTATACTTCAGCTCTTCCTATTTATCTTATATGTCTTCATTAACTAAATTTGCTTGTTCTTTTTATCTATCCTTTTATCACTTATGAATCTATGCACATTAATTAAATGTTTTTTTCTCAACAATTACCCTTATACTAACCGAGAGAATTATTAAATGAGATTAGTAGATAATTTCTTTGTTTTAAAAAAGGGATTTTTTTGGTACAAATCACAACAATGCATTTACAGAAGCTGTGTGATTTGTCAATGTAGACAGATACATAATAACAGAGGGGGTATGATATAATTTGGGGATTATTAAGCCTTTAAATCATTTTTTGATTTTTTCCATCATCTCCGATGGAGCCAAAATTTCACCATTTTTTGGCTTTGGGGTGTGATGGAATAAATCAAAATGGATCTCTAAACAATCTGCGTTTCTTTAATTAATGAAGTAGCAGTTAGTCAAGAAATGCAACTTTCGACGTTGAGCCGGGGGTCTCTTTGGAAACAGCCTCTCTACATTCGAGTAGGGGTAAGGTCTGCGTACACACACCCTCCCTAGACCCTACTCTTGTGGGATTTAACTGGGTTGTTGTTGTTGTTGTTGTTAAGCCTTGAATAGTGATTGTTGTGTTGCAGGTTGAGCCAAAATGTTAAATTGTCTTGGAAGCTCTCAAGTATTACTAAACGTGATGGTGGAGGGTATACTCTAACATATGAAACACCTGAAGGGTCTGTTTTTCTGCAGACCAAGAGTGTTGTATTGACAGTTCCCTCCCACGTTGCAAGCAATTTCTTACAACCTCTATCTGTATGTATTTCTGTCACACCAATTTCACTTTTTGAAAACTCTTCTTCCAACCATCAACCCTGCACTGTAAGAGCCTGTTTGGTATGGCTGATTTGGTTGAATCAAATGTTTGGTGAATTTGATTTCAGCCAAATAAGTCAAAGGTTACTTAATATGCATATTATGATTATTTATAAACAATCAGATTAATGATACCTAGTGGGGCCTAAATTTTTGGAAGTGTGCAATCGTCTGCAGGCAGTAGCTGCTGATTCCTTATCAAAATTTTATTACCCACCAGTTGCAGCCGTGTCAATTTCCTACCCAAAAGAAGCAATACAGATAGAATGCTTAATAGATGGCGAGCTTAAGGGGTTTGGCCAGTTGCATCCACGCAGCCAAGGGGTGGAAACCTTGGGTAAGTGTTCTCTATAGATTCATATTTAAAATTGCATTCATCAATCATAAATACGGAGTATAATTGTGCAATTAAAATAATACAGTTAAGCACGATATTGAGAATTGGATATTCCTCATTGGTTTGTTTCCAATGTGAAATAATGCAAAGATCTTGTTGAATTTGTTGATTTCTCAGGAACTATATACAGCTCATCGCTTTTTCCTAACCGAGCACCAGAAGGAAGGGTTTTGCTTCTGAACTACATTGGAGGTGCTACCAACACTGGGATTTTGTCTAAAGTAAGATATTATTTCCTCCGTCACCAAAAAAAAGTTTTACTCCTTGTCTTTCACGGAGCTTAAGAAAATTGTTGAAAAGTATAAAATGTATGGTTTGAATTTGTGTAGATGAGAGAAATATTGTGAGCCACATGTTCATTACTAAAAAAGGAAATAAAGTGTAAAATGTTTTTTTGGAATGTCTAAAAAAGGAAAGTGTAAAAGTTTATTTTTTGGACAGAGGGAGTATGTATCAATGTTCCTAACTTTGAGCCCTAGCTTCTAGGTGGGGTCAGGACTCAGGCCATAGGCAAGATTAAGCTATGCCAATTTGAAAAAAAGGAAAACATCTCTTCTATGTATTTTCCAATGAATACCAAACAAACAAAATCCGAGCAGTTTTAAACCCCCCNCCCCCAAAAAAAAAAAATCTCCCCCCCACCACCATTTTTCAAGTTCTAAACGTAAACTTGTTTTTTTCCCATACAGACGGAGGGTGAACTTGTGGAAGCAGTTGACCGCGATTTGAGGAAGATGCTCATAAAACCAAGCGCCAAGGACCCACTTGTTCTTGGTGTGAGAGTGTGGCCTCAAGCCATTCCGCAGTTCTTGGTGGGCCATTTGGATATCCTAGAAACTGCAATAAGTGGCATCCGAGACGATGGCTTGGAAGGGCTGTTTCTCGGGGGTAACTATGTATCCGGCGTGGCTTTGGGGCGATGCGTAGAAGGAGCTTATGAAGTTGCAGCTGAGGTGAACAGTTTTCTCTCCCAATGTGCTTATAAATAGTGTGTTAATGGCTCATTGTTTAGAGGGTTCATGTAATGAGGGAGTAGTGAAATTGTAAGTTCACTATAGTTGGTTTTACTTGAGAGTTCTAGTGAATGTTATGTGGGAATTGAGTAAACAATACTCCATATGCCCTTAAACAAAAGTATGATTTGGTGGATACAAAGTTTTTTTTTAATTAAAAAAACTGTGTTATTGCAATTTATTTAAGTTTACTTTGTTCCTGACATGGAGATTCAGAAAATGAAAATTATATTATTGAGGTTTATATAGAGGAGACACAATGCAAACCACTTAATAATTTCCCAATGGAGAGAGACTTGAGAGTGACACAAAATGGTGCTCCATTTTAGTCTTTTAAAGTTATTACTCGGTATACATGAGTTATACATTACTATGTACTCCCTTTTTTGGTCAAAATTGTAATTTTTGACCAACAACAACAACAACAACCCAGTTAAATCCCACAAGAGTAGGGTCTGGGGAGGGTGTGTGTACGCAGACCTTGCCCCTACTTGAAAGTAGAGAGGCTGTTTCCAAAGAGACCCCCGGCTCAACGTCGAAAGTTGCATTGCTTGACTAACTGCTACTTCATTAATTAAAGAAGCACAGACAATTTAGAGATCCATTTTGATTTATTCCATCACACCCCAAAGCCAAAAAAAGGTGAAATTTTGGCTCCATCGGAGATGATGGAAACATAATTTTTGACTAAAATTAAATAAAAATGATACTCGTATTAGATATTGATACAAAAATAATTTTATCAGATTCACTATATATAATACTTTGAAAATATTATTTTATTTAAATAATATACAATATATATTTTATTTTATTATAGGTTAAAAATTCAAAATAGTTGACAAAAAAAAGTTAAAATTAGACAAATACTTTGAGACGGAGATACTAATATTTAATGTTGGAGTGCGCCCAACATTTATGTGTGACATTCTGAACCTTGATACGGAGTATCATTAATGAATGAAACTAGGTCGCTTTTTCTTTTCAAAAAAAAAAAACTTGGGAGAGAATTTAACAAATTACAAAGTTATGCAAAATAAAGAAGCTAATATACATTCAAATCTTCGTACAAAAATAAAGGTTTCCATCCCATTGGGTCGACTTGAATCCAAACGCATACAATTCAAAAGTACTGAACTTTGGCTTAACCCTCTAGTTTGATAAAATGAACTTGAGCTATGGCTCATGAGGATGCAATGTCACCAAAATAAACTGTTATGCCTTTCACATGGCCGTGAAGCTTGCTTTCTTCAATCTGCAACAAGCAAAAAGTTGTGTGTAATCTCTCTAAGAGGATTTACATTTACTTATTTTTTGTAGAGAAGAAAAATGGATGAGTATTTAACAAAGTCTGTCAATTCCATCATACTATTTGATGGGTATGTTAGGGGTCGAAGTGCTTAGCCCGTTCAATCCACCAAACGACGTCCGCTTGAGATGGGTTGTAGTGACTCGGCCCAAAAGTAAGGTAGAAGCGTACATGATATGGGCCGTGGGCTAACCGACCCGGAACCGAGGTTCAATCTTAGACGTGGACGGAATTGTGGGCGGGGCTCGGGGACCCTCCACGCGTGACTAATCATGATTTTGTCACGATCCATGATTAGTTCCACTAATTATGGATCGTAACTATCTAATCCTTGTACTTACTCCCACCATAGAGACGGGATTAAATTCTTAATGCACAAAGGGTTCATATAACTTCTATGAATGTCTCTCTGTTGATTATTGTATAATTCATATATATTCCGATGGATTATAGTCCATCACTATCTATCAAAAAATATAAAATAAAATCCAACATACTATATATATACCTGAAATGGTAGAGGGGGAGAAGATAACCAAGCAAGATGTTCCACTTGAAGCAAGGCCACATTACGAGGCAAGTACATGATGATGTTTGGTGTAATATTTTGTGCAGCCTGAAATAATGCATAACTGCAACCATGGTAGAATTAGTATCACTCTCTGTTTGGTATTAAGTCTTCTTTGGCTTATCGGCCGCCCTTTTCACCAAAACACTAGTTACTTGACCTCATGTGTCGAATTGACATTGAATGAAAAAAGTCCAAACGATTAAATATTTTCTCGTATTTCCTAACTTCACACTTCAAACATAAGTTGGTGGAGGCAGTAGGGCATACGTATGTACCCGTCTTTTGGATTCAGAAGCTCTAGACCATAAGTGTCTCTCAATTTGTAGGTTGGACCACCCCATGGGGGAGAAAGAAACACAATGTCTCCCTGATCAAGATGATCAAAACAAACTTTAACATCATGTTTGGTTCATGGAATTTGAAAGGGACATGAAAAGAAAATGATACGAAAAATAGTTTTTCTCGTTTGGTTAGAGAGAGAAAGAACAAAATTGAATGAGAAGGAAATGAGAGGAAAATTAAGGAAAACAATCTTACCCCTGTTATAACAGAGTTATTGATTCTGTTAGATCATCATGCATTGCTGCATTTACTCTCCAAAACTTTACAGAATGTTAGAAACAAGGGAAGTTTAATACTTTTAATGTTCCGTCTTGATTTAGTCAATTGTGTGCCCAAAACTAAAACATTGTCAATAATGACATTTTTAGCTCCGTTGCCATTTGGCAACCTATGAATTATGATTATGCATGAATAAAACTCACACACCAAAACTAGTGATTTTAAGTCAAAGATCAGAAGTGACTAGGCACCAAGGTTGTAGGCTCAAAGTTATACTCCCTTTGTAATCAGGAACCATTCGGTAAGGACTCTTTGCCTGAAATGGCTAAAGCTATTAGATTTTCTGTATCAAATAAGTATGTCAAAAGCTATTTAATCTCTTTATTCGTTTGATAAGCAGAATAAACCGTAACTGGCTACCAAACAGAGCCTTAGTGTTTAAAAGCAGACAACCTCTTTTCCCAGACATAAATCAACTAATTCAAAACTGTGGTCGCCACCAAATGCATTGGGTAGAGAAATAGAAACTAAGAAGTGATGATCACAATCATTCAATCGTGAAACATAGAGCAACAACAATAATAATAACAAAATCCATAAAATCCTACAAAAAGTAGTCTGGAGACATGTGTAGGCATACCTTAACCCTACTTGGAAGTAGAAGGGTTGCCTCCAAGAGACTACCAGCTCAAACACACAAGTACAGACAAAGTAAACATATTAGCACGAACAAACTAAGAGCACGAAAACTAGACACACATAACGACACTAGCAATCAGACCCAAAGCACATGTGAACAAGGATGTCCATTTTGTGATAGAAGACAATGCAAAAACTATTGGGAAAATCGGGTAATTTTCCCACTAAGACAACACAAATAGCGAAATGAACCAATTCAGAACAAATGAACTGGACAGAACACTAATAGAAATACCCGACAAATAATATTGAATACTATACTACAACTGAAAAGAAAACAACACAACAACAATAAAACAATAAATAGAACAGAATAATAAAAGAGATAAAGAGAGCATACCCGAAATTTTGTTAATGGAGTTCGGCTAGTTTAGCCTAATCTCTAAGCATCGCTCTTATTGATATGTGGGAGAAGAGATTACAAAAAATTGGGATACTACAAATGGAGGAGGAGGGGTTATTTTATAAGCTTCAATACCCCCTCGCTAACAAAAAACTTCAGGTGTGGGAAGCAAAAGAAATAACCCACCAATGTGGGACTTTGCTTTAAGCCAAAAATCAATAATATAGGGTACAATTTTATGTTGTTTTCTTTTCTGTTTCGGTGGGAAAATTACCTGATTTTCCCAACAAGTGGTATTGGAGCCAAAGGTTTGCACTTGGGTTGTCTGAAATTTGTTGTAATATTGAATACTATATATTGAGTCTGTAATGACAAATAAAGATCAAGAAGCGAAGGGTATTGTCTCAAGTATTTCATCTGGGCTATTGGGCTCCTCGTCATCATGGTTGAGGTTCCCGGTGTCCAGTTTGAAATTGGCGGTGGAAGTATTTGACGGCACATGCCATTTCGGCATGTGGCAAGGAGAGGTTTTGGACTCTCTTTTCCAGCAGGGTCTTGATATTGCTATTGAAGAAAAGAAACTAGAAGATGTAGAGGATAAAGACTAGAGCACCATCAACCAGTTGGCATGCGGAACTATTCGATCTTGCCGGTCCAGAGAACAGAACTATGCTTTCAAAACAGAGACTTCTGCACGCAAGCTGTGGAAGGCGTTGGAGGACAAGTTTCTGAAAGAGTGGTCAGAACAAGCTCCTAATGAAGAAAAGGTTGTTCCGATTTGATTACCAACCAAGTACCACTATGAATGAACACATCACTATGTTTAATCAATTAGTATCAGATCTATTGAATTTGGATGTGAAGTTTGAGGATGAGGATCTGGCTTTGATGTTGTTATCATCTCTTCCCGATGAATTTGAACATTTGGAAACTACGTTACTGTATGGGAAGGAGAATGTGTCGCTAGATGCTGTTTGTTCTGCTTTATATAATCATGAATTGAGAAAGCAGGATAAGGTGAAAACCAAATCAACGACATCAGAAGAAGCATTGGTGGCAAGAGGTCGTCAGCAAAGCCAGAAAAAGGGGAGAAGAGGAACATCTAAGTCCAAAGGCCGAGCCGTTGCCAAAGATGAGCGTGCTTTCTGTCATGAGAAAGGACACTGGAAGAAAGACTGTCCAAAGCTCCAAAACAGAGGGAAGGCTCCGCAAGATGCAAATGTTGTGGAATGCAAAAATGATGCGAAATCAGATATCTCTTTAATTGTATTGCCTTCAGCATCATCGCATCCAGATGGGTGGATATTGGATTCAGGTTGTACTTATCATATGTGTCCCATTCGAGAATGGTTCTTTGAATTTTAGGAACTCGATGACGGGGTTGTTTACATGGGTAATGATAATCCATGTAAGACAGCCGGGGTAGGTTTAATCAAGCTACAAAATCATGATGGATCCACTAGAATTTTGCGGGGTGTGCAGTATGTGCCTAAGTTAAAGAAAAATCTCATCTCATTGGGGGCTTTAGAATCTAAAGGCCTAGTTGTGACGATGCGAGATGGAACTCTCAAAGCAACTTCAAGAGCACTGGTGATGTTAAAAGGCGTAAGAAAGAACAATCTATATTACTACCAACTACCAAGGTAGTATAGTGGTTGAGACAGCAGCGGCGGCATCTTCTAGCACCAAGAAGGATGTCGAGGCAATGAAGCTGTGGCACCTTCGAACCTTTCAACAATCCTTGCTTGGCAAGAACAATCTCATATGCCACAACTTCATTGCCTCGGCATCCTTCTTGGTGCTAGAAGTTGCCGCTGCTACTATCTCAACCACTATACTACCTTGGTAGTAATATAGATTTTTCTTTCTTGCGCCTTTCAACATCACCAGTGCTCTTGAAGTTGCTTTGAGAGTTCCATCTCGCATCGTCACAACTAGGCCTTTAGATTCTAAAGCCCCCAATGAGATGAGATTTTTCTTTAACTTAGGCACATACTGCACACCCCGCAAAATTCTAGTGGATCCATCATGATTTCGTAGCTTGATTGAACCTACCCCGGCTGTCTTACATGGATTATCATTACCCATGTAAACAACCCCGTCATCGAGTTCCTAAAATTCAAAGAACCATTCTCGAATGGGACACATATGATAAGTACAACATGAATCCAATATCCACCCATCTGGATGCGATGATGTTGAAGGCAATACAATTAAAGAGATATCTGATTCCGCATCATTTTTGCATTCCACAACATTTGCATCTTGCGGAGCCTTCCCTTTGTTTTTGAGCTTTGGACAGTCTTTCTTCCAGTGTCCTTTCTCATGACAGAAAGCACGCTCATCTTTGGAAATGGCTCGGCCTTTGGATGTCGTTGATTTGGTTAAGCGACGTTTTACAACTGGCTATTTGTTCACTTTAGCAAAAGTGCCAGTTAGTTGGAAGTCTACTTTGTAGTCAACAGTGGCTTTGTCTACAATAGAGGCAGAGTATATGGCAATTACAGAGGCTGTGAAGGAAGCAATGTGGCTTTATGGGTTGCTTAAAGACTTGAGAGTTGGTCAGAAACAACTTGAGTTTTATTCTAACAGTCAAACAACAACAACAACAATCCAGTTAAATCCCACAAGCAGACCTTGCCCCTAAATATTCTAACAGTCAAAGTGCTATTCATTTAGCAAGGAATCAAGTCTTTCATGCAAGGATGAAGCACATTGATGTTTGCTATCACTTTGTGCGGGAGTTTCTCGAAGAAGAGGAGATACATATGCTGACCAAGGTGGTTACAAGGGCAAAGTTTGAACACTGTTTGGACTTGGTTAATGTCTTGCACATTTAATGTTTGGCGCCGGGAGGCGCAAATTTGAAGCACTGCAAAGATTGCTTTTGTTATGTTTGCTTGAGAAGATTTGTATTTTGGTGGGACTTGAAATTAAGCTAAGGTGGAGATTGTTGACTTTTGGCTTAAAGCAAAATCCCACATCAGTGGGTTATTTCTTTTGCTTCCCACAGCGGAAGTTTTTTGTTAGGGAGGGGGTTTTGAAGCTTATAAAATAACCCTCCTCCTTCATTTGTAGTATCCCAATTTTTTGTAATATCTTCTCCGACATATCAATATGAGCGATGCTCGGAGATTAGGCTAAACTGGCCGAACTCCATTAACAAAGTTTCGGGTGTGCGTTCTTTATCTCTTTTATTTTTCCGTTCTATTTATTGTTGTTATGTTATTTTCTTTTCAGTTGTAGTATAGTATTCAATATTATTTGTCGGGTGTTTTTGTTAGTGTTCTGTCCAGTTCATTTGTTCTAAATTGGTTCATTTCACTATTTGTGTTGTCTTAGTGGGAAAATTACCCGATTTTCCCAACAAAAACACCATATATCCATCATATACGCCAATGAGTGTCCATTTTGATATGATTATGGACCTAGTGTATAAACATGGATTAATAGGCCGAGCTTGACATGAATTTTTTTCATGAACAATTGATATGATCAGCTGAAGAAGGACATTACCTTCAAAAATGGAGCCAATTGGAAGAAGTCCCCGACGAGGAAATCGATATATTCATCCACTCCATATATCTTCGCGTTGTGTCGAGCCATTTCAATCTTCTTAGGATCAATGTCAATTGCAATCACATAATTATACCTACCAAAGAGAGTTCACAATAAACATCAACAGCTCTTAACTTCTACCAATTCACTCACAAGCAATCCCTAATGTTTCCTTAAATTCATAACCTTACTTCGCCACAAATTGAATAGCATTACCCCCTACGCCTGCAAAACCGTCAATGACAACACCCCCGCAGCAGCAGTCGGCTTGCCTGGCGGCAATTTCCTCCGGCGTGACGGAAAACCACCCCTCTTCGTCCATCTTTATCCCCTCGTCATACCTGGAGAACAGATCGAACCTTTGAAACCAGTACTTCTCTACCATCGGACTAACTCCTTCTTCCTCTCCAGGCTCTTCACCTCCCTGCACGGATTTCAATGGCGCTTCAACACGGAGATGAAACTGAAAATTCAGAGACTAAATCTAATCGAAAAAATGTAGTGAAATTTTTTATAATTAAATTCACACTTTTTTCCGAAACTGCAAACCTCTTCGTTTCGAAAGCTTTCTGCGGTTCTTCGAGCGCCGGCGTTTTGGCGCCATCGCCGGTTGAAGCGATGGACAGGAAGAGAAGCTTTGGGGGGAAGCTTCACTGAGAAGTGTGATGTGAAAACTTGCCGCTCAATCGAGCCCAGCTTGGTTGTATACTCGGATTATTTCTTGAGAATGTACATTGCAAAGGGTTAATAGCAGCACTTTTACAAAAATGGAGCCAAAACCTCCCTATTTTCAAAAGTTATTTGTAAAGTCCATGTGGTTTCTAAATAGAGCATACATGCCTCTTTACCTATTTTTAACGCAAAAATGACATTTATGCCCTTTGTTTTCCCCGATCTTGAATTTTTCCGATTTTAATTTCCTTTATTATACAAATATATAAAATAAAATATATGCTTTTATCTCAAATTAGAATTTTTCATAATGTACTTTTGAAAATGAAATATTTTTTGGAGAATGTTACAAAAAAATGAAAAATAAAATATTATGTACAAAGTAAAAACTAATAACAGTTAAAAAAAGTAATGAAAAGAAATAAAAATATAAAAAATAGTCTTTTTCTTTAACTCCATATTTTATTTCATCTTTCTGTTCTTCATATTTAATTTTTAAATTAAGGAGCTACAAAAGTTAAATGATTTACAATATTTAAAAGACTACTTTATAATTCACATTACTCGTATAAATTTGAGAAAATACTGTCATCGTTGTATATTAGAATTTTCAAGTAATTATGATTTATTACTCTTGAAACTACAACATATATTTTTTCATGACTAAAATAAAAATAACATTAATCAAAACTCTGGTTAAAAATTTGTTCAGAATTAATTGTGTTGTTTTTTTTCATTTTGTCAAATTGCTAATAAAGTGTAGATCTATATGCTCCATAAAAACAAAGGACCATTTAAAAAAAGAAACTAAATTTCTTTGCATTGATTCATTTTTAAGGAAAACAATACTTGTATTGTCTCTGTTTTATGTTTTTTTTTGTATGAATTTTACTCCTTTTTTATTAACAATGTAATACCGGGTAACATTTTTTGCCATTAATGGTAGTATAGGTAAATCACACAGTACTAACAAATTGCAATTATGGTAATTCCCAATTTCACAAATGGTAATTTGTAGTTTAATAATATAACGTTTTTTAAGTAATACCGTGTAATATTTTAACAAATTGCAATTGCAATTATGGTAGGTCCCATTTGTTAATACCGTGTAACATTAAATGACATTTGTTAATGTAACCAAAATTACTATTTGTTAATACCGTGTAATATTAATTGTCATTTGTTAATCACCCAACAATTACCATTTGTTAATATTGTGTAATGTTAATTGCCATTTGTTAATACCGTGCAACATTAATTGACATGTGTTAATGTATGTAATAAAAATTACCATTTGTAAATACCGTGTAATATTAATTCCATTTGTTAAAATTTCCTTTTTTGCGAATCTGGATTTAAAATTGTTTAACTTTCTTTTTTAATTATTTCCAATTATATTAATCACGTTTAGTATTATAACTTACCAAAAAAAGAATTAATCACGTTTATTATTATTATTATTTCTTAAAATTTCCTATTTTGCGAATCTGAACTTATAATTGTATAACTTTCTTTTTAAATTATTTCCAATTATATTAATCACGTTTAGTATTATAACTTATCAAAAAAATAAATACCGTGTAATATTTTTTTCTAAAAAAAGAAATATCGTGTAATATTAACCTACCATTAATTGTCTTATTATTTATTATGGTTAGTACGGGTGTAATATTAATTGCCATTAATTACCTTGTTATTTATTATGCTTAGTACGGGTGTAATATTAATTGTCATTAATTTCCATAATTAGGTTGGTGGAGGCCATTTTAACGTAAATATTTAATATTTAATTTAATTTAATTATTTAATGTAATTGAGTCATTACCATTTTAAGTGAACAATTGTCATTTTTAATGCACAAACGCATGGGCGGGAAAACCACTTCTTGAATCCATGTCTTTTTAAATAAAGTATGGATATGGATATGGATTGGTAATAATTAATTACCAATTTAAATTACTTACCTTTTTAATAATTTCCAATATAAATTAATTACGTTAGTATTATTATTATATCCTTATATTCACGTTGGGAAGTTTTCCATAAATAGGAATGAGTCAAAACCGTGTAACATTAATGACCCGTGCAAAAGAATTACTATTACTTTAAATTACTTACCATTTTAATTGATTAGCATAGGTTGGCCATTTTAACGTTATTTTTTTTATTATCATTTTTGTATGCGTGTTAAAAATGTACATTACTCTATACGTATTTTCCTATTTTTAATTACAATTTCAAAATACACGGTTATATTAATGGATAACATAATAATATATCTATTTTATTAGCATTTCTTTATTATGGTAATTAGATTTTTAATTATCTTTTTTATATACGTACTTAATTACTGATACTATATTACCAAACTAATTACCATTTTATTGGCCTTTCTTTATTATTGTAATTAGATTTTTAGTTACCTTTTTTTATATACGTTTTTAATAGTTAATTACCAAAACACATGTTTATATTACCAAAACACGATTCCGTAATGACCCGTGTAACTCCATTTTAATTGAGTAATTACCATATGGAGTGAACAATTACCATTTTTTTAGAACACCAAATGGGCGGGAAAACTAAATTGAGAATCCGTGGCTTTTTAAATAAAGTATGGATAATAAACGAATTCTAAAAACATAAATAATTTCATTAACCAAAGGTGAGGAGAGTCGACCATGGGCTGATTGAAGGTGAAAATGGTAATCAATGACAACAATAATAGACGATTGAAGTAGATATTCCGTATAAAACTTATTTATATTTTCCAAATTTAGAAGATATCGAAATCTCCCATTTAAAAGTTTGTGATATTTGTAGATCTCAAATTCATTTTTCTTTATGCTTCATCATAACTTGTTCACCAAACACATTTTAAATGTCTAGAATACTTAACCTTCAAAAAAATAAATTATACTCACCCAAGTTCGAGTATTGAGTCCAACATATGCAGAGACATTGACTCTTTTTACGTCATTATGTTGAGAAAAGTGGGTTGGTACCCTCTCGAATTTCATTTCCAATCCCATTTCTTCAACATAAAATAACAATAGAAGTAAAACATGACATTTATTAATTTAGATTTATTAGATTTTTTTATAACTGAACTTAATTAATTTATATTTACTTTTTAAAAAAATCAAGTCAAATAGAAGTAAAACATGACATTTATGCCTAAAGAAGGATTCTACCCTGTCAGATTATGATGTAGTATAATCACATTTGTTGTACTCCTAGTTTGCGATAGAAAAAATGAAATTCTTATTTTAATATTTTTTCAACATTTTGCTCCTAGTTTAGTCATCTCTATCATTCATGTGTTACTTTCTCTCTCCCAAATTAGTTTACACGATTTAAACAATGTACAAATTTATTTTTTTAAACATAATTTTATATATAAATTGATATAATAATAAAAAAATATAAATCATTTGTTTAAAATTACATCTAAAATGTTATAAAAAAAATTTATTTTATAAAATGATTAATTGAAAATACAGGTAAACCAAAATAGAAAGAGTGCATTTTAGTTTTGGTGGAATGAAAGCGAAACAGCTTCCCGGCAACAGTAACACTATGGCCTTGTTTGGACGTTGGCCGTTAGCTGTTGGTTGTTGGCAGTTCGTGTCAGTTGACCGACAGGATGAATTGGCTGATTGTTAAAAATGTTTGGTAAAATTAGTTATTTGAAAATAGTTTTTCCTATATATATATATATATTCATTTTTTTAACATGTAAAAATTAAATCTTTACTATATGGAGTATTAAATTTTACTTTCATTTAATTCATAAGAACTTAATAATATACAACTTTTTAATGATTTTTACTTTTTATTTTCTCATTTCATTTTTTTGAAATTTTTAATTTTAAAATTTAATTTCTTTTAGTATTTAATTTTTTAACTTTTATTTTTATTTTTAGTTTTTACATATATTATAAAATATCTTTCAAGAAAAATAATTAAAAAAAAAATTCCTAACAGCCAAGTCCAAATGCTACTCTCCCTGACATTTCGAATTTTGTCTTTTCGGATCAAAATGCCAAGTGAAAAAGCCATTAGCCAAACAACAGTTTTGGCTGTTCGCTCAATCAAAAGAGCTAAAGTCAGTCAAACATGCCAAAAGCTACAAAACCTTTTTCCAAACAGGGCCTATATCTGCCGTCATGAGAATAATCTCCCAAATGGAAATCCATCCCAGCCTGAGCTGGGATACGGAGAATCTACGATCGATCATTGGAAATCCATCCCAGCCTGAGCTCATCGCATCTATGCCGGTAACGTCGTCCGATTTTCTCTTCATCCATCTCTGTTTTGATTCCCCAGTTCTGTTTCTGCATATTCCAGATTAGCTTGACTTTTAGACACGGAACATATATTTACGTGATTTTGGATTCCGTTCTAATTTTAGGAACAGATAAGTTTTTTTTTTCCGTTTGTGGAAAAATTATGCGGAATTTGCTGGTTTTCGTGGGTGTTATTGTGATTTATTGGGTGTTATAGAGTTGTCTAATCATTTTTTTGTAGGAGCTGTAGGGGTTTGTATTTGCTGAAATTGATTGCCATTTCATTTTGCTAGCCCTCAATTAGATCACTAATTTTTATTATAATTTTCTTTATAGAATTTAATTACCCCAAAACTAGTAGTTTTAATAATTGGGAAGTTGAGTTTTAAATTCAGGTATTTTTTTACCTTCTTGATTCATCATCATCGTTATATTCATCATCATCTTCAAAATCATCATCATAATGATCACGTTCTAATGACATGAGATTAATACTGTCAATTCATGCAAAAGTTAGAGTTCAGGTTTAAACCAGACGTCCTTTTTGTTGTGCCTTTCTAACGAGGAAAAAATGGGTTGAAATTAAAAAGCTGTTTGTATCAGTTGCTATAGAATGTGTAATTGTGTTATCTCTACCTTTACCCAATTTCTTTGGATTTTGTTTGCTTATGGAGCAGATAATTGCCTTGCAAGTTTGAGCTTTTCCAAATAGGATACACTGGCCTTTATGCAGGGTAGTGTGTTGCACTTGGTGGGATAAAAGGACTATTATTATTCTGTTTGGATTGAAGGTTGAAGTGGCAGTATAATTGATGGGTGGCATATTGAGCTCAAATAATCAGAAATCCCCCATCACCGAGCCAAATAAGGCGTCACAAAGTGAAGCGCGCAAGAGACGAAGGATTTCATCTAGTTTATGGGAAGACAACCCACGGTTGATTCCCAGCCTGCCTGATGAAATATCCTTTCAAATTCTTGCACGACTTCCTAGAATTTTTTACATAAATGCAAAGTCAGTGTCCCGGGGATGGAAATCTGCTATTATGAGCCCTGAACTATACAAAACAAGAAAAGAACTCGGCATGACCGAGGAGTGGCTCTACATATTGACTAAGGTCACTGGTGATATGCTTGTATGGTATGCCTTGGATCCAGTCTCCCTTAAATGGCAGAGGTTGCCACCTGTCCCTGATTTCCCCCCTAAAGATGGGACTAAAACAGGTTCATCCGGGCTTTGGCTATCCAGTATGTTGAGCCCCTCAATGAGAATCATAGATGTTGTAAGACGTTGGCTCCGGAAAAAAAGTTCCCCTGGCCAAATCCCATTTTGTGGTTGTGCTATTGGAACAGTCAACGGCTGTCTCTATACGTTGGGAGGCTTTCATAGAGATTCATCCATGAAGAGCGTTTGGCGCTACGACCCGATAACAAACATTTGGGATGAAATCAGCCCGATGTCCATTGGTAGAGCCTATTGTAAGACGGGTGTCCTAAACGGGAAGCTTTATGTGGTCGGAGGCGTTACTCGGGATCGGGGTGGGCTAACCCCACTTCGGTCTGCAGAGGTATATGATCCCCAAACTGGCGTTTGGACAGAAGTGCCAAACATGCCCTTCGCCAAAGCCCATTTGCTTCCAAATGCCTTCTTAGCTGATTTTCTCAAACCTATAGCGACTGGGATTTGTTCTTACAGAGGAAAGCTATATGTCCCACAAAGTTTGTATTGTTGGCCATTCTTCGTTGATGCTGGTGGGGAGGTGTACGACCCAGAAACAAACTCGTGGGGTGATATGCCTTCAGGGATGGGAGAAGGGTGGCCCGCTAGACAGGCAGGGACAAAGTTGAGTGTGATTGTTGATGGGGAACTCTATGCTTTGGATCCTTGTGGCGAATCAAATTCGGTTAATTTAAAAGTGTATGATTCTCAAGATGATGTTTGGAAGGAGATTCAAGGAGACATACCAATTCGTGATCTTGCAGATTCTGATTCTCCATATTTACTTGCTGGCTTTCTTGGAAAGGTTAATGTCATAACTAAAGATGGAAACCAAAATTTAGTGATCTTACAAGCCGACAGACAAAATCAGTCCATTCCATGTTCAGACACGTTTGGTGGATCTGATGCAAGCATATGGAGAGTAATTGCATCAAAGAGCAATGGACCTGCAGAGCTGGTCAGCTGCCAGATTCTTGATCTGTAGCAGTGAAGGGCAGGCAAGGTCAGTTGGAATCAACCGTCACTTAGGTTCCGTTTGTTTGCGCAGGAAAATATTTGCTGCTTTTCTTGCGTTTGGCACATGAAATCATTTTTAGGAAGCTTTTTACTGGTTTGTGAAAATGACCTTGTTTTGAAAACATTATACTCCATATTACACATAAAACAACTTGTTTTTCGGGTATTTCCAAGAAAAAAAACTCTTCCACCACAAGTTATTTTCCTAGAAACAAACGGAGCCTTAGTTTTATGACTTCTCAAGTACAAAACCCAATCTCTCTCTCTCTCTCTCTCTCTCTCTCTCTCTCTCTCTGTGGGAGTGAGCTTTTTGCTCTCTTTGTTTTGTACGGAGTACATACAAAGAAAGTATAGTTGTGTGCATGTACACAAGACAGACTCATGGAGACACATCAATGAATGTACTGATTAATTAAACATAGTACCAAGCAAACACTTTATTACTCCACTCTCAATCTTCCTGATTCCCTTCTTGAAATTGGTGTGATTCCTCATTCTCCATACTTCATACATAAGTTCTGTCAATACACTAGTTTTGTAGCATTCTCGAAAATCTTCAGCCCCATTCTTGCATAATACACAATTTTTGTCAATATCCATGTACATATTTAGCCAGTCTTACCTTTAGTGGGAGCCTCCCTTTCCAAACCAACTATAAAAACAAGTCCATAAAAAGAGTTGGTGCCTGGAAAAAGCTAGGAGAATCCCACATTTAACACCACCGTTGACATCTTGGTGTCTCACAGATGCACGCGTACAATAATTGTTAATGCGGGAAATGTCTGCGTGTGTCTGTGTGACATTATGCTGTCAAAAGTATTGTCGGATATGGGTTTCTCCTAGCATGGTAAAACCGGGCTTACTCAAACTTGTCCAAACAAAATTAACCCACCATGGTTTCATTCTCACACCAACCAATTCAGTATAGTTTACACCCATGCTCTTCCTGCGTTGCTGAGCGTAAATGTAAATGTAAATGTTTCCCCTTAACTTACACATCTTCTTCCAGAACCCAGAGGAGCATCCAGTTTTAATAGCATTGGGTTGATCGTATGATTGAAACCAAAATGAGCATAAATAAGTTTGAAGCCAGTTTTGAAGTTGCTTATTTCATATTCTGCAACACTCTTCTTGACCAATATATAGTCAATATGTGTGTGATACTGATACCCAGATACACAAAGTATACTTTATTTTGAAGTGCATCTAAAATTCTACCTAATATTACCTTGTTTGGGTTCCAATAAGGTAGAGGCAATGTATGATGATGAAGGGAAGGAAGAATGGTGGTAACGGAAAGGATTTCGCCGAAGTGGCGAAACCCACCCCGTGGTACCATTCATCTCATCGGTCGAGGATTTTCTTTCCAAAATACACCGTACTAAAAGTTCAGTTAACCTGAGCAAAATTTACCCGAATAATGAGGAATGACCTTAGGGTCCGTTTGTTATACGGAATTGATGAAATTGAAATTGAAATTCTATGGGATTCAATTCCATAGAATTGAATTCTACCCATTCTAATTCATTTTTTGCACTATTAATTCCAAATTCACACAATTTATGTGCTACCAAACACCAGAATTGAAATTGACGTCCTCAATTTCAATTTCATAGTTTCAATTTCGTGTACTAGATGCGGCGTGAGTGTTGTCCTCCCCGAATGTGCTAGAGAGACACCAAAATAGTGACATCATTTTGACTCCTAAGTATCATTTTGACAGTAAAAGTTCTCTCTGCGCACGAATCACGGGGAGATGTAATGAATTGTCCAATCTGTGGCCGGCCTACTGGTAAAGTGTATTCTAAAGTGTGTGGGTCATTGGATAATGGATGGGGGGAGTCTGACATAAAGAATGGAGATTCCCAGACAACATGAATCACTACTTTGGATGTAACTACTTTGGATGTAACAAATTGTTTAAATGAGTTATCTCTTGTTTTTTCTTGGACGTTAAGAATATAATCGGCAAGCCTAATTACGATAATAAATCTGATAGAAGTCAGGAACTGTTTTACCAAACAGAGGGAGTATTTTTTTTCTTTTCGGGATGTCCCAATAACAATCTTGTTTTCATTTTGGGAAAAAAGTTCAAGCAACTTATTTTAGAACAGAGAAAAAAAGGCAAACATGCAATTTAATTTAAAAAAAAGGGACAAAGTAAGAAATAAAATGCTTCCTGATCTATGTACTTGGGTAAGTGGACCCCTTAGCTTATCTTCTTCCATCTAAAAACCTGAAGAACAACGTGGTAGTTAAACTATAAAAGGCCCATCTCTTCCCAGTTCCAACCCCAACTTGCTCCCTGGCCCGGTTCACCCAACTTCCACAAGGAGAAGTCATGGGAGAACCCATAATGGCCTCCGGTCCGAGTATCCTCTGTTTCCTCATTTTCTCCCTCATCCTCTCGAACGCCGACCCGGTCCAGCCCAGAACCCCCGGCCCGGTCTATGCCTGTGACATGGAGAAAACCCCGGCTTTGAAGGCAATGCAGTTCTGCGACCCGGCTCTGGACGTGAAGACCCGGGTCGCGGATCTCGTGGCCCGCTTGACCTTGCCGGAGAAGATAACGCTCCTGGTCAACACGGCCGGGAACGTGAGCCGGCTCGGGATTCCGGGCTACGAGTGGTGGTCGGAGGCGCTACATGGGCTCTCTGATACTGGACCGGGCGTGAAGTTTACCGGCCCAATTCCGGCCGCCACCAGCTTCCCTCAGCCCCTCCTCACTGCTGCTTCTTTCAATGTCACCTTGTTTCACGCCATTGCCAAGGTATTACTCCTTCCCCGTCTCTCTCCGTTTCAATGAGTTTGTTCAGTTTGACTCTGATTCTTAAAAGAGAGAAAGTACCTCGTAGTATCCATATAGCTCCGGTGGGGTTGACGGAATGTTAGATACTTCACTCGTCACATAAAGAAACTTCTCACTTTTGTTTTTTGTATTTAAAAAAAATTAATTTAAAAAATGAATTTATGGATAAAACAACTTTTCTCTCATCTTGGTTACTATGTACCTATAAGTGAAAAAAAACACTGCCTATTGACTACGAACCACTATTAAATCCGAACCGGACTGAGCCGTTAAACTATGACTCGAACACATAACCGGTCTGGTATAATATGAACCCCACCAACCTGTAATTTATTGTTATTGTTGTTTTCGGACGAAGAATATATACAATTTTTACCTTCTTAGACATAATTTGAAAAAAAGATTCTAAAAACTTAAAACGGTGATAATAGGTGATTTCGACATAATTTGAAAAAAGATTCTAACAACTTAAAATGGTGATAATAGGTGATTTCGACGGAGGCTAGAGCAATGCACAATCTAGGATTGGCAGGGCTGACGTACTGGTCCCCGAATATAAACATATTCCGGGACCCGAGGTGGGGCAGGGGCCAGGAAGTCCCGGGGGAAGACCCCACCCTCACCTCCAAGTACGGGGTCGCCTTCGTCCGCGGCCTACAAGAGAGGGAAGAACACGGCGGCGGTGGCGGGCACAAAGACAAGCTCAAAGTGGCCGCCTGTTGCAAGCATTACACGGCGTACGATTTGGAGGAGTGGAAGGGGATCCAACGGTACAATTTCAACGCCGTCGTAACGGAACAGGACATGGCCGACACGTATCAGCCGCCGTTCGAGCGTTGCGTGCGCGAGGGAAAGGCGGCGAGCGTCATGTGCTCGTATAACCAGGTCAACGGCAAGCCCGCCTGCGGCGACTTTGACCTTCTTGCCGGCGTTATCCGAGGCCAGTGGAAATTGAACGGGTAAGTTTATGAATAAACTTGTTTGGCCCAAGGGAAATCTTGCCAATTTGAGTTTCAAATAACTCATTTAAGAAAATTATAAAATGTAATTTTAAATAAATAAATGATATGAAAATGTGATACATTAAAACTATGCTTTAAACTAAATTTATTTATTAATTACATGAGGATACTTTTGTTAATAATGGACATGTAATTATGTGTTAATAATGGTGCAGGTACATAGTAACAGATTGTGACTCTTTTAATGCCATGTACAATTACCAGCACCTGACCAAAACACCAGAGGAGACTGCAGCTTTAGGCTTGAAAGCAGGTGATTTTTTTTCCAATGGAATTTTTAAAACTCATTGGCACATTTAATAAAAAATTGTTTCAATAAGAGTATTAATAATGAATATAACATGGGAATGTAGTGATGCCTGAACTCGTTTTCTGGCGATTGCGATGGTAAGTGATTGTACTTATCATAGGCCAGGGCATCTGCAAGAATCGATGTAGACTCCACTTTTGACCATCAATTTGTGATTAAAGTTTAATTTATCTTTTCTTCATATGACCGTTCAATCGGTTCTGAGGGACTCTCATGGGTGAGATTCATCCCTTTTTCTTGATAAAAAAGGTTATGCCCACCCAAAACGATCTCCCAGTAGTACCGACCTGCACAATGGGCTGTGTGAGATTAATTGAATTATAATATCAAAAAACTTCATAATGAATGTAACAGGGGTGGATCTAAATTGTGGGCCATTTCTGGCCCAGCACACACAAGGGGCAATAGACCGGAAGCTAGTGAAGGAATCTGAAATAGACCGAGCCGTTTCCAATAATTTGGCCACTTTAATGAGACTCGGGTTCTTTGACGGCGATCCAAGAAAACAATTTTACGGCAATCTTGGGCCCGCTGATGTCTGTAGTCCGGCCCACCAAGAGCTGGCCCGTGAAGCCGCGAGGCAAGGAATTGTCTTGTTGAAAAACGACGCCGGATCCCTCCCCCTTTCCCGCAGTTCCGTCAAGTCTTTGGCGCTCATTGGGCCCAACGCCAATAACCCACACACAATGCTTGGAAATTATGAAGGTACATATACATTTCAAAATATTGATAATCTCTCAGTATTTATTCATTTTAAACTTTTTTCACTAATAAAATAATTTTATTATATTTATAATATGAAATATTTTTAAAATATTATTTTATCTAATTAGTATACAATATATATTTTATTTAATTATGGGTCAAAGGTTAAAAATGATTGATTGAAAAAACTCAAAACTAGACAAATACTCAGGAACCGGAGAAAATATTTTTTTATTCATATCCTTTTTTATGAAAAAATGTGTGACCCACAAATCTACTTTCTCTTCTAGATAAATTTTAGTCATTCTTTATACTGTTCAACATATTTCTTAAATTCTTTGAAGCTAAAATGAGTAATTCTTTTTTGTATGATGAAGAGTGTATTTTTATACAATAATTAGTTTTCTGTAGTTTTAGTTTCGTACTTATTTTATAGACCTTTCTGTGTAGGCAAACCATGCAAGTACACAAGCCTATTACAAGGTTTAGCAGCAATGGTGAAGACAGACTATGCACCCGGGTGCGACGACATCAAATGCGGGACCCACCTCCTCTTGGACGACGCGAAGAGGATAGCGTCCGCAGCTGATGTCGTGGTCCTGGTCATGGGTTCGGACCAGT